TTCAAGTTCTCAGAGTTGTTTGTGTTTTTTTTCTAACATAACTAAACTGCTAAAGCAAGAGAGTTGGATGTAAGGCAGGTATCAGGCAGATGGAAAGGCCTGGCCCATGAACACTTCTTCTTTCAACCTTTTCCTTTTGTAGTGCTGTTTGTGATTGATGGGCAGAGTATACAGAAGCATAATTACTTATTGTTATTTTAACATTTGAGAAAAATCAGAGGATTTTGTGGCTGGATATATCCCCCCATTCCTGCATTTATTTTTTACTTTCTATGGCTAGGTTGACTTTTGTCTTTCCTTCCAGCTTATGTTAAATCTTCCTTGGAAACAATCAAGTCCCTAACATATGTCTGCTCTGAGACCTTTTTGTAGTAGCTCCATGTTCTGGAGATAACCGCTATCTTGATTCATCATATCCTAGTGCCCTTTTTACTCTTTGGAACAGAAGGTAGAACCGGAGCTTGTAGGAGCATTAGTCTTTAACTGGAGAAGTTGTGTCCTGCTTCCCTCCCACTCCGGCTGCTGCTTGTGTCTCAGCACTGCAGTCAGCCCCCATCACCATCACTTCTCTTCACGCTGCCACAGGTGGGCTTTGCTGTAAACCTGTAATGATTTCCTTTCCTGTTGCCATAATCCTCTTTTTTTCCTTGTTTTATCCATCTCCCTTTATTTGCCAAATCTCCTTTGATTCTTTGTTCTTTTCACCCCATTTTTACTCTTTTGTAATCTGAGACCTATGGGACAAGATTTTTTCCCTTCTTCTAGCACATGGAGAAACTCCTGCTGCCTAGACAAGGATTACAGTAGTTATGTCTTGAAAATTTAATTCCAGACTATATGGACAAGACCTGTGATGCCTCTGTTGTTATCTGTTCCTCAAAGCAATACATTAAACAAAACATGCATCTGATCAGTTTAACCTGTAATTAAACATTTTCCTTAAGCAACTGACATCTCGATAACTAATAATTATCATTTGTAGCACCTTTAAAGCCTATTATGCATGTTTATGTAAGAACACTATTACCATAATAATAAGATATCATTACCACAAACGTGCATCCTGAATGAGCATGTCTTAAAGTAATGATGTGATTCCATTAATCATACTTGAAAAATTAAAGTATTTGCTGTCTAATCTCTAAAACACTACTCAAAAGATTTTTGGAAACAGCAGGACCTGTTTACTGCAAGTCTCTAATACATGGTATCGCATTTCTGGTGTCTCATTTTTGTTTCCTGAATTGTTGCTTGTCTTTCAGCTAGGGAAATCATTAGCTCAGAGACCCACAGTCTCCTGTTGAAAGCATTTCCATGCTCTGATTTTTATGCTGTTTGACTTGGTTTTTTTTGTCCAGGGAGTGCTGCCACCTTTTCTTAAGGCTGGTGTGAAATGCACTCCTGAAACTCAGTTCTCCTTGAAATTAGATAATTGCCTTAAATAAGATGACTGATAGCTAATTGTAATTCTGTTAGTCCCTTGCACAGGGGGAGGGAAAAAAAAAAGCTGTTCAAGTGCTTTTTTTTTTTTTTCTTTTAATAGAAGACTGGAAAGTGGAGTTGTCTGCTTTTATGTATAAATTTGTTAAGAGCATGACCGTTCGAGTTTATGCTTCTCATATTGAAATGTTGAGCTCTGTAGACTGTCCATTTTTTTTTTTTTTTTTTTTTTTTCTGGAAGAGACTTGATGACCAGAGTGAAAGTTGGGAGGAAACATTTAGCCTGCTAAGAAATGTGAGTAACTGAAAAGAGACTTTTTCACGCTGTTTAAATCCAGTTTAAAACAAATACCTGATGTGGCTAAGAGCTAAAAAAGTAGTAAAATGATCTTCTAGGGTTTTTTTTAATGATTTATTAGAAGATTCCTATTGTGGTTGGCCTAACGTGATCTTTGGGGCATTGATGGTGCAGAGAGAAAGAAGGTTGTGCAGGTCTGCATGAAGTCCACAGCCTTTCCCCTGTCCTGAAACGTGCGGGGCTGTAGTTCACAGACTGTGTCCTTGTGCACGGTGTTGGCGATCGCACCGCTCCATGGGACCACTCCGTGAGAGAGCTGAAGGAAGGCAGCTGAAGAGGATAGATGGATTGTTGGCCGTTTGCAGGCATTTACTCATCCAAGCAGAGTATCTGTTTGTGCTGTTATGTTAGAAGGGAAGAGCAGGCTGTTTAATCAGTGGCTTTTTTTCTGTAATCCTTTGTCAAGATAAAAAGCATGCCCTCTCTCAGTAGTTCTGTCTAACCTTTTGGGAAAAAGGTCTAAGCATGAAACTTGAAGCCACAGTTGTTCTACGAAATCAGTTATTATCATTATTTTGTAGTGTATTTTGATCACTCAGAAGGAATTAACCCACGGTTTTCAGACTAAGAATGCCTTTTACAGTTCTCCAGTAGGACAGGGGTTTGTAGCTGTCAGGCACCAGCCTTTTCGTTCATTCTCTTTGAACTTATTGATAAAAATGCATTTGTGTATAGAGTGATCAAACACTTGCTGCTTTAGAGAGGCCATTCTTTTATCTGTCCGTAGTACCACATCTAATTTAGTAACATAATATGTGTTGAGTCAAATTAGTGTATCGCTGTGTATTTTCTTCCTTAACGCTTGGCATTAATTCATCTGGAGCACAGTGAAGTATTTATTAATGCCGCAAAGTACATGGTGCCATACATCTCCTTAATACTCGATTCAGTTAATATGACATATTTCTGTACCTAAGGTTTAACTGTGTTATAAGAGAATAGTAAAAGAGGAGGAGAGGATTTTAAGAGAGTGATTTCAAGGACTGAGAATATCTAGCAGAAGAATATGCATGAAAAATGAGAACAGCAGAAGTAGGGAAAAGGCAAAAAATACATATAGGATTGGGAAACAAAGTGACAGATGTGATACAAGAGGACAAACAGGACTTTGAAAATTTGTTTTCTGTCTATAATGGCAATAGTAAAACAGGGAGGTGAGTCTGAGCTGGAGCTGAAGATGTATCACCACAGGAAATCGTTGTGCCTACAGTTAGTTGCTCATGGCTGTCAAAAAATTAAAAGGAACTACATATAAAATGGGTATAAAACTGTTCCCTGTCACAATGCACATCTAACTTCTGGAGCTCGTCGTATTCTTATGGACAGTCAGGCAATAGGACAGGAAAAAGGATTGTATCTTCGTATTATTAACAACTGTCACAGGGGAAGGGGACATATGCACACACGTACATGCATATAGTTAGAAGGAAGGAAAGGACTGTTTCAAAAGCAAAGCAAAATGCTTTCTGAGAGGGATATAAACTCCTGTGACTTGGGGTATAAACCAGCTTCTCGCAAGTGTCTTCAGGAAACAGGTTCCCCGGCAAGCCAGTTATTCTGTTACCACCTGCAAGGCTTCGTGAGCCTTTCTGTGTATCACTTGGCTTCTTTTTCCTTCTTTTTACCTATGGAGCAGGGAGAATGCTTTCTTTGTTCCCAATTAGGTTGGCAATTTCTCAAATCCTTCATAACTTTTCAAGAAAAATTCAAGTTCTTGATAAAAATAAAATGGAAGTGTATCACCAAAAAGAACAAATTGGAATACTGTTAAGTAAGCAACTTTTTAAAATTTGGTACTCTTCTTTATATTGGAGGATGCTAGGATCATGTTGTGATTTAATTCTTAGCTTTAAATTTAAATATCCTAGAACTATAAATTGTTCTCTGTAGCTTTGGTTACTTCTGGGAAACACTTATTTCCTAGTTTTCTAGTCTGTGGGTTGAACTAAGGAAGTTCAATGTTTTATTCCAAGTTCAGTTTTTAAATGCTGCACTGCCTCTGTAGAAAGTGTAAGAAGCTGCACTGAATTTCCCTTCCCCCACTTTTAAATACAATTCCTGTAGGAGCAAAAAAAAAATATTGAAGCATCTATGTTATACTGAGTAATTATGCCCCCTGGGAAATAGAATATAAAGATCTTTAAAATCATTCAACTGAGAGAACAAGCACTTTAACTTTTGCCTTGCAGGAGTCATGTATTACATTATCAGCTACTTGCTCCAGTGTCAGCGTGTCATGCCTTGCAGGTTAGCAGGTTTGGCAGAGGAAATGAAACCCAGTCAGTTACTGCAGGATTTATAGTAGACCTGCTGTTGCAGGAAGTGGTGAAAAGTTGATTGATAGTCTGAGGCAAAACTCTACAACAAGAAACAGGATGTATGTTTGTTATTTTACACCCGTTTTCTCCTCTGCCCTCCGCCCCTCCACTTCAAGGCACTCTCTTACTTTTTCTTTTCTCTGTTTATAAATCCATGATGCACTTTTCTGGTAAATCATGGGCTGACTTCAAAACACTTGAGGAAATGGATATGGCTGTAGCAAAGGTTTGAAGCTGACGTGGCGAGCCTGCTTTATTAGAGGTGTTTATCTAAATGGTCCTGATATTTTTGTTGAATTACATTTCAGCTGAGTTACAAATGAAGGGTAAAGCACATCTACAGACTGTATTGAACATCGCCTGCTGTCTCGGGTGCAGCAAGCTAGCTGTGAAAGGAAGATAATACATCACTGAGATGGACCCGATCAGCTATGCTCTATCGGTTCATCTGCATTTAACAGACATATCTGGAAGGGTAGTAAAACAAAATGATTTTGCTGCATATGAACTTAATCCAGCAAGCCACATACTGCAAAGTTCACTGCTAAAGACAGCAATCCTGAAAAGGGCTGTTCTTAAATCCATGTTTTCCCTTACTGTGCACTGCTGAGCCATCAAAGAAGCAGTATCTTTTCTGAAATGTCACTGAAGACTTTCAGTGGGATATTGTCTAGCCTTGTGGAAAAAGTTACCCAAAAAAACAGTAATTATGAATACTTTTGATTTTTTTTCCCTATAGGATCTACTTTTACAGTCGCAATTGAAGAAGAAAGTTGTTTGCAAACTAACCAAATACTAGAAATGTTTTAAGATTTGTGTTCTTGTTACCAAAAGGGAAAGTTCTGTTTGTAAAGCTAAATAATATATGTTGTTCTGTGTTAAAGGTCAAAAAAGTTGGCTGCACTGTCTGAATCCTTGCAGAAAACCACACTCGCTAAGTCTCACATAGGATTTGAACTAGAAGAGCTGGAAGCAGCAGCAGTGCTGGTACAAGAGGAAGAGAGCACGCTAAAAGCTGCTGGCACAGTTTCCAGGCAACAGCTGCCTTCCTCTGAGTCGGAGACAAGTGACTCTGAAGAATCAAGCAGTACTTCATCATCTGAGACAGAAGGCTCTGATTCAGATGAGCGAGAGTCCTCAACTAGTGAAGATGGGAAAATAAATTCTTTACAAGGCACACTTCAAGAGGAGAGGACAGCTCCACTTATTGACTGTAATGGATTAAGGCAGGGCACAAACACTTCGACGTTTGAGGTTTGTGCTGAAAAATCCAAGGTTTCTTTGCAATCTACATCCGTTCCTGGGAAATTGGTGGAAGAATTAGAAAAGCAAATGGACACTGCAGTTAGACTTTCAGAAGAGCCTGAAGGATTGGCTACTGCAAGCTGCGTTGTACAAGAACAAGAAGAAAACCGTGCGTCTGAACCTGACAGTTTTTCAAAAGATACTACTGGGAAGGGAAATTTCTTGGAGGTGTCTTCAAAGACAAACCCATTGCTTTTTCTTTGCAGCACAAATGAGGATGAATACTAAAGGACCATGGCAGAACACGGTGTGACCCACTGGCAACACAGCTCATTGCTATAATGAGGTGTTCCCAAGGCTATCGTGAGCTGCAGAAAGAAGTTGATATTTTTCTTCTTTGTTGTGTTGACAGTCTGGAGGACAAGACTGCTTTGAAAAGAATTGATATGACTGTATGATAGATACCCTCGTAGTTAGATTTTTATTTTTCTTCTCTGATTCACCAGAGTCTCAGGTTTGATCTCTACATGTAGGACTGTGTAATTTCAGTAAACTTCTAGAAACAGTTTTCATTAAGCTTATTCGGTAGTAGAATGATGTCCTAATCAAATACAACTGAAATGAGTTGTAGCATCATTTTAGTTATCTTTAGCTGTTGGGATTTACTTGAAAAATATCCTCGTTACGTTTGTATCAAATTGTTTATGACATTTTGCTGCATTTTTTTAAATTCTAAAATGCTTTATAGGTAACCACTTCAAAAATAATGGTTATATCTTCAAAAGTCTAAATAGTGCTGACAAATTATTTTTAAATATATAAATATATTCTATATTTTTTACAAAATAAAGGACATTTCTTTATCATCAGTGCAAGATAGAAGGGTTATAGCTTATTTCTGTAGTTCTTACGTAAGTTATTTCAACAGTTTTGTCATGTATTTATTCTTTTGTGCTGGTTTTGAAATGTTTCCACATGTGGACACTAGTGTTGCTCTTTAAAGAACAGAAATCCTAATTATTTCTTATTTCTTTCTGCATATGCTCTTAATATCACCACAGTAATGTTAAACAAAATGAAGAAACAACATGGTACAGCAGTCCCGAGTATAGGACTGAAAGCAAACCTGTGCTGTCTAGACCTGGCTTTGTTACTAGTCTATCACGTAGCTTTGGCCAACTCATTTGCTCCTATTTGTATAACATTAAAATAATCCAGTCAGTCAACATATTTTGTGCTAATTTCTGTTAACTGTGGATAGGTTCTTGAAATCAGGTGGCTACTGCAAATTATGTGCTGCTATTCAATCTCGACAAAAGGATTTGGGAGGGAGGCAGGACGGGACATAGACCGCCAGGTTTGGTTCAGCA